AACAGGGAGAGCCCTCTCATGCTTTTTTTTTTTCTCGTTGCTTCATTAGATTTAAATTTCTCACTGCTTCCGTTATTTCACTGGCCTGCTTTTGTGACAGCTCTTCTTGTGGCTTTGTTTTCTCTGACTGACAAGATGTGGTATCCCTAACATAGATCAACAAAAGGTATAGAAACCAGCAGCAGTAATGATTGATCCAGTGTATTACATGCTTGTTAGAGTGTGCAGTACAGTCATTACACATTTAGTTTCCACCATCCCAAGTACGTTCAGGCTATATTGACATTTCTCTTACATGATGACCTAGGACTCTTTCAAAACAGGAAATCTTGCAGCCTCAATCATGATTTGCAAAAGAATTCTGTTTATATATTAGAATAGAATGAGCTGCCTACAAAAGGACTTCAGTGCCTTAACTTACAACAATGTGGTTAATGTTTTGAAACACTGCAGTGCATTACAGGCAAGTTGCGGACATTTAAGCAGTTCTGAAACCCACTGACTTGAGTGTAAGAAGTTGCGGTATGGTAGAACCCTGTTCAATGCCCCATATAAAAAAACATAACACAGTGATGAAATCCAGGCCTCATTAAGATAGATGAGAATTTTGCTTCCACAAGTATTGTACTACTAATCTACTTCACTCATTAACTTTTCAGTGGCGTAAGAAATATTTTTGGATTTAATTTTGAGGATACTAGGGGAATGCACCTCTGCACACTACACTTGCCAACCCCCATCTGTCTGCCACAGCTGGACTGTGGCCTCCCCTTCTACCCGTGATGTCACAGGAAGGGGGCTGCCATGTGCTGCAGCTGGATTGGGGCTGGACAGGATGCTGTGGCCAGATTGGGGCTGGGCCCCAATTAGGGTGTCTGGACGGGGAGGGGGCAGGAGTAGTGAAATGTGCAGGAGCAGGCTAGGGGCAAGGTGTCTGGCCACGGGGAAAGGGGCAGGAACAGGCTGGAGGCAGGGTGTCTGGTTGGAGAGAGGGGGCAGGAGCAGGGTTGCCTGTAAGGTGCACGCTGCATGGGCACTCAAGAATTTCATTCCTGCCCACCTCCTCAGTAGAGTTTCACATCTGTGACCCAAGCTGTGAGTGGCGGGTGACTGCCCATCCCAGGAGCAGCTGGGCAGCCACCCTGTGGGCTGTGTTGCAACTGCCGAAGCTGGAGGCCGGGCCACGGTACTAAAAAAGCACTGTGGCCCAGCTGCAGTCCCAGCACATGGGACAGCCACCTGCCATGTGACTCAGCGCCTGGGAGCAGCTGGGACCACAGCTGCTGGTGCTGGGACCACAGTACTAAAAATAGTACCACGGCCCTGGCTTGAGTCCTGGCATATGGGGCATGCTGCCTGCTTTGCAGGTGTCAGAATGATGGCAGGGAAGGGGCAGGGGGATAACTAAAGGGAAAGTGGAAGTGAGGGGAGGAAGGGGCTTGTGCTGAGGGGAGAGGAATGTTTCAGGGCAGAAGAAAAGGGAAGTCACCAAGGTGCAGGGTGGAGAAGAGACAAATACCGGGGGGAGGGGGAGCAAGAGGAGTCAGTAAGGGGAAAAGGCAGGAATTGGGGCAGGGGGAGGGGAGGGGAAGCTATCAGTGGGGGAGGAGAGGGGCATGGGGAGCAAGAGGAAGGAATAGGAGAGGGGAGAAGTGTATGTCAGGAGAAAAGGGGTTGAAAGGAGGGGTGGACCTGAGGAAGGCGGGTTGGAGCAAGTCATGTATGAAGGCGCAGTGGGGCGTGAGGAGAAACTGGGACAGAGGGTGATTAGTGGGTGTGCACCAGGAAGGAAGAGGGCAAGATGTTGGGAGGGCAGGGGCAGTGAGGGAAGGGCGAGGCACCGGGAGGGTGCAGGAGTATGGTAAGGTGAAAGTGCGGGTGAAGCAGAAGGGCAGACCTGGGGAGGGGAGAGGCAGGGCAGGTGAGTAGAGGAAGGTGTTAGGATAAGGGGAGGGGAGGGGAGTTAGAGGTGGGGTTGGCATAGGGGCTAAGGGCAGTGCAGGGGTCAAAGAGAATGGGGAGGTGGGGCAAGTCCCAGGAGGGCTGAGGGGAGTGAGAAGGGCAGGATCCAGGGCAGCAAAGGGGGGGCAACAGCAGGCACCAGGGAAGCAGATGGGGCAAAGGGTGGATGGGAGACATGGTGGCAGAGGGAAAAAGGGAGAGGTTTATAACTTGGTACCACAGTGGCACACGTCCGAACAAGTGCACATGACCTCAGTATTGATACACACTCTCCTCGTGGATGGAAAATCTTAGAGTGAACAGGAGCATGCTGGGCAGGGTGTCTGGTTGCAGAGAGTGGGCAGGAGCAGAGGACGAGAGTGGAGAGGGCTGGAGGCAGGATCAGAGGGAAAAAGGGAGAGGTTTATAACTTGGTACCACAGTGGCACACGTCCGAACAAGTGCACATGACCTCAGTATTGATACACACTCTCCTCGTGGATGGAAAATCTTAGAGTGAACAGGAGCATGCTGGGCAGGGTGTCTGGTTGCAGAGAGTGGGCAGGAGCAGAGGACGAGAGTGGAGAGGGCTGGAGGCAGGATGTCGGTCCAGAAGAGAGGGGGCAGGAGAAGGCTGGGAGCAGGGTGTCTGTCCAGAAGGGAGGGGGCAGGAGTGGGCTGGGGGCCGGAGAGGGGGGGTGTCTTTCCTGGAGCCTTGGGGCTAGTGCTGGCACTCTAATCTTGCAGGGGGGACCACAAGGCAGCCCGAGGCAGGCAGCGGCAGCAGTTTCCTACTGTGTCATGGAGCATCGGGGCCCCAGACCCACAAGTAGAAGTGGGATCAGAGGCAGCTGCTGCTGTCACCCCCAGTCCTTCTGCATGGGAGCCAGAGGCAGACCTGGGGAGGAGAGAAAAGGAACTGGGGGGAACCCTGAGCCATGGCCAGCACTTCCCCTTCTGACTCTGCGGAGGCTGGGAGGGCGGGGTGACGCAGAGTGACATGACTACGTCACACTGTTGTCCTACAGGAAAAGCTTTTATACATACATACATAGAGAGAGAGATCTTTGTTCCTTTCTTTTTCCAAGTTTTGCTAATGCCAATATACTACAGAAGTGTACTTTTCATATGTCATATTCTTTAACACTGCTATTTTCAGTCTTGCATGCTATTCTTATAATGGTCCAGGCAACAACACTGAATGTTGCCTTCAACTCCCACAACAAGTCACTGCTTACCATCATGATGTCTAATAATGTAAGTATGGAGTAAATCTGATTTCTACTTCAGAGTAATAAATATTCATAAATGTAAAAGATAAGTAATGGTGCATTTTAGCATCATTGAGCCACAGGATACCTTTTTAATGCTTAGATTGTAGTATAACTTCGTAATTGTATATGTACCCTCAATTATCCTAAACATAGCCTTTGAAGAAATTGTTTGATCATCTTTGGCTATGAATTTTAATTGAACATGGATAATCTGTAATGAAGCTATTTGTTTTTAAAATTACAGTTTGTTGAAATAAAAGGAAGCGTTTTCAAGAAGTTTGAGAAGAACAATCTTTTTCAAATGTCAAACAGCGGTATGTATATTTACATGGCTCAGAAAAATATTGCTAAATCAAAATTTGCTCTTATTTCAAGGACAGTCTTCCATTATGTTTATGGTACTGAAGTGATAAGGTATTACCTTGAAGGGGATGTTGAGTGCTCTACATTTGTATTATCGTAGATCTGAATTTTAGATCTCCTCATTACTGTTTTAATAGGAATAAACTAAATTCAGTTTTAGGAATATTGTACAGGCAGTCCCCGGGTTACGTATAAGATAGGGACTATAGGTTTGTTCTTAAGTTGAATTTGTATATAAGTCAGAACTGGCTCCAGATTCAGCCGCTGCTGCTGAAACTGACCAGGGGCTGAATACAGGAAGCTGGAGGCAGAATTGCTCTGCCCCCAGCTTCCTGGAATCAGCCACTGATCAGTTTCAGCAGCAGCGGCTGCAACTC